AAAAAGCGAGAGGCACCTGAATCCAGTGTGAAGGTGTGCAGTGCTGCAGTCGACACAGTACTAGGGGGGGCAGACGTACACGCACCTAGAGCAGCAGCCTCACCAGCACCTGGGGTAGCGGACACGCGAGTACCTGGAGCGGCAGACGCACTAGTCCTAATGCCCGGGTCGGGCGGGACACTCAAGTTCTCAGCACCCTCTCCACTAGTAGACATCACATACATGGCAGTGAGAATAGCATCAAAGTCTAGAGCATAAATATCAATCCCCTTGTTCAGGAGATCAACCCAGCGGGGCAGCTCAGTGGCCTGAGGGAACTGAACACGCCAAGCGTCGTTCAGACGAGCGAAGCAACGCTGTGTGGCGTGCGGTCCCCCACACGGCTGGCCAGTCCGGTCACCAGTGCGAATGATGTACGTGCAGCTAAGGCCACCCCCCCCCCCCCCGTGCTGAGAGTACCACTCACGGACCTCCTGGGGCGACGGAGTGTGCTGCTGGCCCTGGCCACCGCCAGTGCCTCCACGACCACCACCGCCGCTACCACCTCCTCGACCACCCCAACCCCGGCCGCTGCCTCGTCCACCGCCACCCCCACCACCTCCTCCGCCCCGGCCACCTCCCCCGCCGCTGCCGCCACCCCCCCCACTGCTGCCACCTCCCCCCCCCGCGCCACCCCCCCCGCCACCACCACCTCCCCCACCACCGCCACCCCCGCTGTCACCACCACCGCCCTTGCCCCCCTTGCCCTTGCCGCTGCGGCGCCCACTCGAAGCAGACGCAGTCCCGACCTTCTCTGCACCAAGGAGGTCGACAGCAGCAGCAGAGGCGACAGAGGGAAGAAGGGGGGAGGGAGAACACCCCTCAAAGAACGGGGTACGGGGGTCACCGCGAGAGGCACCTACAGCGACTATGCTAGCCTCAGCTGCAAGCAGTTCCTTCTCGAGGAGGGCAATGGTGAGCTCGGTGGGGCAGCGAGCTAGGAAGTGGTCCCTGACTGAGCGCAGAGTGTCAGGGAGGCGCGTGACTAGGTGGTAGAGAGTGAGCCAGAGCGGGGGTGGGTTCTTGGCAAGGAACTCATCAGGCATAGCGGCGCGGAAGCGAGCCTCACTAGTGCGGAGGTGGGTAATGAGATCAGCGACAGTGTGGAAGGAAGCTTAGTCGGGGAACAGGTAGGGAAGAGAGAGACGGCCTAGAGCGGCAGAGGCCGGTGAGGAGTAGCGGGCAACGACAGCAGTGTACAGTGCCTGCGCAGTCTTGTGCTGCCCAAAGTGCTCGCGCTCATCTATCGGCAGAGAGTTGCGAATAGCGAAGCGAGTATGGGCGTCACGAGTCTGCCACTGTGAGCGGGCAGTGCTGTCAGCAGTAGCAGCAGGAGCAGTAGCGTGGCCTAAGGCATGATCGTACAGCGAGATGTCTTCCTTGGCAGTGAGCTGTAGGAAGAGGTGTAGGTCATCAAGCCAGGTGTCGAACTTCACTGGGCGGCCCTCAGCATCGAAGGCTAGCACAGGAGGGCTAGCCATGGTAGCAGCAGTAGGAAAAGCAGTAGGAGCAGTAGGGAAGGTAGGGCGGCGCGGCTCGGTACAGGTAGGGCGGCGCGGCTCGGTATAGGTAGGGCGGCGCGGCTCGGGTCGGGCGGCGCGGCTCGGTTCGGGCGGCTCGGGTCGGGCGGCGCGGCTCGGTTCGGGCGGCTCGGTTCGGGCGGCTCGGGTCGGTTAGGGCTGGCGGCTCGGGTCGGGCGGCTCGGTTCCGTTAGGGCTGGGCGGCTCTGGTCGGCTCGGGGCCGCTAAGGGAGAGCGCGGGGAGCGGGTGGGGCCGTGAGGGACGAGCGCGGGGCCGACGTGGGTGCTAAGGGCGAGCGCGGGGCCTATCGGGGCCGTGAGGGACGAGCGCGGGGCCGATCGGGGCCGTAAGGGACGAGCGCGGGGCCGACGTGGGCCTCTAAGGGCGAGCGCGGGGCCTATCGGGGCCGTGAGGGACGAGCGCGGGGCCGATCGGGGCCGGAAGGGACGAGCGCGGGGCCAACGCGGGCCTCTAGGGGTAAGCGCGGGGCCGATTCGGGGCCGTTAAGGACGAGCGCGGGGTCGACGCGGGCCTCTAGGGGTAAGCGCGGGGCCGATTCGGGGCCTCTAAAAGCGAGCGCGGGGCCGACTGAGGCTTCTAGGTGCGAGAGCGTGGGGCCGACGGGGCGTCTAGGGGTGTGAAAGCCGAGGCGCCCTAGGGCGCAGGTAGATAGGTAGGTAGTGGTGGGCCCTAAAAAAAATTGGTCCTAGGAAGGACCTGCTCTATACCATGTTGAACAAGAATGAATGAACTAACAGTGAAATGAGTACAAGTATGAAAAACTAGGAATGTGTACCCCCTATAGGCTATCCCACTGTAGCCTAAACAACTACAACAACATATATAATGTTTGACATTGACACCCAGGTGTCCTCCATACTTAGTGGCGTGCACCTCTGCTAGAATATCATTCCGCAGGTTTCCCACATGTGGGACAACAATTTCTTTCTTGTGCCACCAGAGCTCATGCTCCCACAAGAGATCCTTCGTATTCTGTGGGTTTCGAAACCAAGGGTCAATATCATACCCTGCGCGAACGCGTTTCAGAAAACCACCAAAGGCAATCTCACTCACTCGAGCAGCTGCGAGGATGTTGAAAGAAGCAGCAAACACTGCTTTATGTTCGGTATTATCAACACCCGTTGCTGCACCAATCGGCTGTCTGCTCAGAGGATCAGCCATGTTCGTCGAGCCCGCTCGATATCGAATATCATAGGTGAACCCACTAAGGAGTTCAGCTCATCGAGCTTGACGACGGGTGAGTGTGGCTTGAGTGGCAAAATAGGTGTTCGGACAGTGGTCGGTCGTGACCACAAAGTCAACACCTTCGAGATAACATCTCCATGTTCGTAGCGCATGCACAACTGCCAACAATTCATGTTCGGAAGTTGTGTAGCGCTGTTCAGCTGGTGAAAGCTTTCTACTCTCAAATGCCACGGGGCGTCCTTCTTGCAAAAGAACTGCTCCAATCCCTACTGTCGAGGCATCAGTTACCACCTCGTAGGGCTTGGACGGGTCTGGCAAAGCCAGCACTGGAGCATTGGTACGCATGGTTTTCACCTCCTCAAATGCCTTCTGGCATTGATCGGTCCACTGCCAAGCATTACCCTTACGAGTGAGGGCAGTCAGTGGAGCGACTACGGAGGAATAATTTTCCAAGAAACGGCGAAAATAGTTCGCAAGTCCGAGAAATGATCTGACCTGTCCCACGTCCTGTGGAACGGGCCACTGTTGGACTGCCGCCACTTTCTTTGGATCGACTTTGAGGCCATCGTTGCCTACCAAGTGACCAAGGTATTCCAACTCGCGTTTGTAGAAGTGACACTTCCACAATCGAGCAAAGAATTGATGCTCTCGCAGTTTTCCTAACACCCATTTCAGGTGTTGCGTGTGTTCTTCTTCAGTCTCCGAGTACACGAGGATGTCATCCAAGTATACCAGGACAAATTGGCCAATTGCTTCCCGAAACACATCATTCATTGCTCGCTGAAATGACGCGGGAGCATTTGTCAAGCCAAAACTTAACACACGCCACTGAAAATGTCCGAACGGCGTTCTGAAAGCCGTTTTTGGAACATCTTCTTCGGTGATTCGTAGCTGATTATACCCCTGAGCTAAGTCCAGCACACTGAACCACTGAGCTCCTTGGAGCCGATCGAACAGATCCTCAATTCGTGGTAGAGGGTATCTGTTCTTCACCGTAATCTTGTTCAAGGCACGATAATCTACGCACATGCGTAATCCTCCGCCCTTCTTGTTAACGAACAAAATTGGTGCTCCGTAAGGGGATGCACTGGGTTCAATCCATCCTTTTCTGAGGTATTCCTCGATCTGTTGTTTGGCCTCTTCGTACTCAGCTGGACTGAGGCGATACAGAGGTCGAAAGGGTGGAACCTTTCCTGGTTCAACAGGAATGGTGTGACCCACTGCGCGGTCAGGCGGAAGTCCATCAGGGATGGTTTCAAACACTTCCTTAAATTCCTCTGCCAGAATTTGCATCTGAGGAGGGAAATTCTCAATTGCTGGCTCCGAGGCCTCAGCATTCTCAAGCTGTACCACGAACAGTGTATCAGCCGACTTAACAGAATGCCCGAACTGGTTGGCCAACACACACAGCACGCTGGGACGTTTAGGCGTCTGTGTTTTAGTGGGCAAAGTATCATTGACTTGCCACTGGATTGCCTTTCCATTCTTGTTGAACGAGTCAATGTTGTACTGGAAGTCCAGAATGACTTCGTTGGCTCGCAACCAATCCATGCCCAGGATGAGGTCGACACCTGACAAAAGTGGTAGGACATACACGATCGTCACCCAAGCGGATGGGACATGACGGTCCTACAACGAGGACGTTGCATGTCGTAACCCAAGTTTCATCAACAAGGGAGACCGACGCGCCTGTATCGACGAGAATCCTTGCTTCGTCTCCATTCATGCGTCCAGATAACAGTAGATTCTGTTGGAATCTTGGACCGATGGGACAAGCGACAACAAGTTTAGGAGGTCGATAGTACACACCCTAAATTTGTTGTGAGCACGTCCAAACCTTTGGGATGTGGTCCACCAAACATGGTGCCCTTTGTCCCATGTTGCCAGGATATGCCATTCATGAAATCGGCGGAACAACTCTCCTTTCACGATTCGTGTCACCAATCCCACTGACGTGAGCGGATGCTCTTGGACACAACGGTCCACAATATCCATGATTGCTGGCAACTCTTTGAACGAGCAAGAGATGATTGAAAATTTATCTCTCAAAAATTCAATTGAAATGTTTTCAAGTGGGTACGATCGAGTTTTAAAAACAGATTTTTCATTAATAGAAGAGGCATACAAACAAGCGATTTTGCATGATGCAAGCTTCTCTAGCTTTAGCAAATCCTCATCACGAAGGACATAAGCCTCATCTACTCGATCTCGCTCACCAACTAGGTACCCACCCCCTATTTGGACTTCGGGAAATCCTTCGGGCCCGAAGGGCCAGAACCATCCGGCTTCTTGCCCTGGTTGGGCTTGCCGGAGTTCTTGACGGACTTCCTCCAACGGCAGTGATAGGACTTGTGCCCGAGCTTGCCACAGATGCGGCAGCCCGCCGGGGGCTTATCCTCATCTTGAGGATCCTTAGCAAGCCCAGCATGGGCCCTCTTGGACTGAGTCCCAGAGGATTCTCCCTTCTACTGATAGGGCCTCTTCCAAGAGCCACTGCCCCTGTGTGCCTGAGTCCTGTTACCACCCCCCTTAGGGCCTTCGGCACTAGGCTGCCGCTGAGCACGAGCGTGAGTCATGTACGCACGGAAATTCACATCCGTGTCAATGACCTGCTCCTTGCAATCCTTGTAGGTCCTCCACTGGTGCTCCCCACGCACAACATGCACACGCTTGATGTGCTCAGGGAGTCCCTTGAAGAAATGGTGGATGACCTCGCAGCAGCGACTGAGTTTTCTCAAACTCTTTGGCGTACTCGCGTACAGGCTGGTCACCGCACTGGATGTTCTCCACGCGGCTACGCACCTCGAGCGCCGGGGGCTGACTTAGGAATGCCGCCAGCATGGCAGCTTTGAACTCCTCCCAGCCAAAAGGATGGCCATTAGCCTCTGCGTGGCGCTTGTTGGCATACACCAACTTGCTCGCAGTGTCGTCCAGGGCAAGGGTCGCTGCGACCACGCGAGCCTCGCTACGCACATTGTGGATGGACATAAAGTCCTCCGCAATGGAGAGCCAAGTTTCAACGTCAGTTTTGCCATGGACAAAACGAGGCAGGGCCGAAGGGCAGGAGCCAAAAGCAGTTGCTGCTGCAGTAGGAGGCTCAACACGTGCTCCAGTAGGAGAGGGAACAGCAGAAGGAGCATCAGCAGGTGCAGCCCGGCTGTTAGCGGCGTTGGCAACTCGCTCTGCTGCAGGAGCAGGCTGGTAGAGGTTTCCACGCCGGATCTCCCTGTACTGGGCCTGAAGCACAGAGATGTGTTTCTCTTGCTTCTTGAGCTGATCCTGCACGAACTGGAGAGTAGTCTGCAGGTCCTGAATGAAGCTGGAGGTGTCGTTCTCCTTAGGGATCGACTGCACCTCCCTGGTCAGCTGCTCAATCAAGGCCTGAAGCTTAACAGAATCAGCCTCCAAGTTCTGGATGCGGCACTGTTGCACTCCAACGAGAATATTCTGCTCCGTGAGTTGAGTCTGGAGCTTGACAGCAATGTTCTCAGTCTCATTGGAAACACCCTCATCAGAGCCAGCCTCAAGGTCAGCTTCACTTCCATTAATCTCCATGTCAACCACAAAGTCCTCAAGGTTGAGATCTATGTCAGTAGCAGCAGCAGCATTATCTCCCTCATTGCCAGCAACGGGCACCTCCTTAGTAGCATCCATCTCTTGACCAGAAGCCATGAAACAGGTTAAGGAGAGGAGATCTCAACAGATCTTATAATAATCTTTAAGAAATCTGATTATCCTTATAGAATAATCCAATACAGAATCTCTTAAGATTGACTTGTTTGCTAAATCTCTCTATCACCTCAATGATAGAGCAAAATATACTCAAAAGAGTAATCCTCAACAAGTCCTTGTAGATCTAAAGATACACTCTTCTACTAAAGGTAGATTTGAGTCTTCCACCAAAGGTGGGTAAGAGAAATGAATCTCCTCAAAATTCTTCACAATGTTGATGAAGAAGGGGAGCTTTTTGTAGATCTTGTAGCTCCAATGGTGGTTTGAAGAAATTGAAGTTGAAGATGTAGATCTTGAAGATGGTTTTGTAGATCTTGAAATTTCTTCAATATCTTCAAGATCTTGATAGCTCCTTGGATGAAATCCTAGATCCACAAGCTAGGATCCTCTAAAAAAAAGAAAAAAAAAATCCAAGTAGCAAATGGCCACACAAGGCCAAGGAAGAACCTTGCTCTAGATACCAATGTAACACCCAAGGCTATTATAATGGAGTTACAATGCCTTTATAATAAATCTCAATATAAGTTGAAGCTCTAACTAGCTCCTAATAGCCTTGGAGGTGTCAATCTTCTGGAAGGAGTTGTTGGAAAGGCTTGAGAGAATTGTGTAGGAAGGCTTGTGAGAGAGCTCTCAAGGACTTAGGCAAAACAATCCCATTTCCAATTGTTTAGTTGGAGTGGGAGGTTGAGAAATTAGCTTGCTTAGCTCAGACCCCCTCAATACACCCCTTGGGGAACTATCCCAACCATGGTTTCCATGGTGGGATGGTTCCTAGGCTTGGAGCCTATGTGGCAATTGTGTTGGGTTGGAAAACCCAATTTAGAACCATTCAATGGTTGTGTTTAAGTCGAGTAGATTGTAATACTTGTTTGGCAGTTTCTGATTGGTTGGGATTCCAACCTTCAACATTCTCTTGGTTGAGTTGGAAATGTTCCAAACCTCCAAAGTTGAGGCTTGGCAAACCCAAACCAAGTTTCATCCCAACCAACTCAACCATCTTCTCCAACTCTTCCTTTGTCGAGAGAAGTTCTCAACAATAGACTTAGAGAGAGATCGATGGTTGTTAGCTCGGTAGTTAGGGTAATACGTTACACGCCGCCTCCATCCCACTCTACATCCCTCACTCACACTGCCTCGCACTCTCCTTGCCCCTCCTACCCATGCCTTCCCGCCCACTCTCCTTCTCCGCTCTCCTACTCACGGTGTCCCCACTCTCACCCCTCCTCCCCGCATCCCCCGTGCCCCCGATGCTTCCTTTACTTTCTGCTCTCCTCCTTCCCTCCCTCTTTCCCTCCCTCCCTCCCTCCCTCCCTCCCTCCCTCCCTCCCTCCTCTCTTCCTCCCCATGGATCCCTCTCACCCACCCCTCGCCCCGTCTCCCCTGCCCCCGCTCTCCCCGCCCTCTCCCCCCGGCAGCCTGTGAGCGCGCAGGGCATGGGGCGGCGCAGCAGTGCGGGGAGCCACGCCCGTACCCTTGCGCCTGCCCTGCCCTTTCCGCCATCCGTGCCTGCCATGTCCGCCTGGTGCAGAGGGGGAGGAGGAGCGGGAGGAGGAGGGGGAGGAGGAGGGGGAGGAGGAGGGGGAGGAGGAGGGGGAGGAGGGGGGGGGAGGAGGAAGGGGAGGAGGAAGGGGGGAATGGGGAGGAGAAGGTGGAGGTGGAGGATGGGGAGGAGGAGGAGGAGGAGGAGGAGGAGGAGGAGGAGGAGGAGGAGGAGGAGGAGGAGGAGGAGGAGGAGGAGGAGGAGGAGGAGCGCGGAGGACGATGCAGGAAGCTGGAGTGATCAGCGGGAAAGTGCCTACTGCAAGCGGGTGTGCCGTGAATCAGGTGATCCGGGCTTGGCATGGAGGAGCACGGTTAGGGAGGTTGTGTCATTGTGCAGTGTGGTAAAGAGGAGTCAGAGGGAGTAAGAGGGAGTAAGAGGGAAACGTGTGGCAATCAGAGGGCGGAAGGCTGCAGTGCATGTGGTTGCGTGTTCCGGAGATTTCCTCTTTGCGAACCCCACACCCTGTCCCCTGAATTGAATTGCATCCATGCATGGTTGTGTATGGATGTGCATGTGTGAGGAGGAGGGGGATTGCCAGCATCTGTGTGTGTGTGGAAGGGAGGGGGTTGGGGGGAAAGCGAGAGACAATGATGTGTTCTCCCCCTCTCCCCCCCCCCCCCCCCCCTCCCCACCCTAAAGATTAGATCATAAGTACCTATGTTGTACCACCTGTAAGTGGTATCAAATGCCCAGCCACTGACCTCAGGAAGCACTCTCTCGCCGCGACCCTCTCCCCGTCCTCACTCCCCTTCTCCCCTTTCCAGTCTCCCCTTCGCCTTCCTCCAACAGTCGTCCCCGCATCCTCAACCCCATCCCTTTTCCCAAACCCCCCCACCCCCCCTTCCCTCCCCGCTCTCCCCCCTTCCCAGTTCCCCTGGCTAGGCTCAGGCTGCATGGCTGCAGGGGGGATGCTGGGTGACGGTCACCCCGACTGCACAGACCATTCCGATGAGGACCTAGCTTACTGCGTCCAGAGGGGCTTCTGCCTGCAGTTCGCCTCCTCGCCTTCGTCCTGCACCCCTGGTGCTCTCTGCAACGGCGTGAATAAGTGTCCGCGCATGAAGGATTACACCGGGTCGCCTTATACCGAGGACGAGGATCCGGAGATCTGCCTGACGTTCGAGTGCCGGGAAGGGGCGGAGATTAAGTGTGAAGACAACTGGGCGTGTCTGGATAAGGAATTGTTTTGTAACGGGCAGAACGACTACCCGGTTTCGGCTCCGAGTGTGCGCTATACACCAGATGAGGACCCGAGTTTCTGTCAATACTATGAGTGCCCGCAAGGGTACAAAAAATGCAGCAGCAGTAACGTGTGTCGCAGGAAAGGGGATTTTTGTAACGGGCGTAGCGACTGTCCGGTTACCGACTCCTCGAAGTCGTATACCAATGATGAGGACCCAAGCTTCTGCTCGGGTTTCGCGTGCGCCTCTGGTTACCGCAAGTGCAACAGCAGTAACACGTGCATACCTGACTTCCTTTTCTGTGACGGAGCGAATGATTGCCCCGTAACGAAACCAGGTTCAGCTTATACCGAGGACGAGGACCCCCAGTTCTGCCGGTCATTCCCGTGCCGGTATGCCTCGGAACGGCGGTGTGACAGTAGCTGGATGTGCATAAACCGAGCGGTGTTCTGCAATGGAAAGAACAACTGTCCTGTAACAGACCCTTCCGTTCCTTACACGTTCGATGAGTCTCCTTCTGCGTGCCGTTCCCACCCGTGCAAGCCGCCTCAAGTGAAGTGCGAAGGGTCGTATGCATGCATAGACGTGGCTAAGATGTGTGATGGGAGGAACGATTGCCCTGTTGTGAATGGAAACGGAGGGGCTGCTGTTTCGGGAGGCACAGGAGCGTCAGGATCTGCTGCGTCCTCTCTGTTGTTTTCTCCTGACGAGGACCCGAAGGCATGCCTTGCATGCCCGCGACCCGGAGAGGAAATGTGCAGCAGCAGCAGCAGCAGCAGCAGCAGCAGCAGCAGCAGCAGCAGCAGCAAGAGCAACAGCAGCAGGCTGTGCTTAGCTAAGTACCGGTGGTGCAACGGGGTCAATGACTGTCCGGCAAGCGCAAACCAATCCCGGCCGTACACAGAGGATGAGGACCCCGTGATGTGCCGCGCCAGGGCGTGTGCAGAGGGGTACCGCAAGTGCCCCAACGGCGTGCAGTGCGTGCCGTACGTGGCGTGGTGCGATGGCTTTGTGGACTGCAAGCTCCTTGGCAACTGGAGCGACAAGAGCAGCAGCAGTAGTAGCGGCAGCAGTGGCAGCGGCGGCAGCAGCAACGGATCATCAGCATCGGTGGCAGCCAAGTACTGGGTGCGAGCATCCTCTCCCTCTGTGTTGGACGAGGACCCTGCCTTGTGCCAGCAGTGGGAGTGCACTGCAGGCATGGCCAAGTGCCCCCGCAACCCCTACTGCGCCAGCACTGCGCTCTCGCATCAAGAGTTCAAACGCCAGTGTGCCGGTATGCATGGGGCTGGGGGGCTTTGGGCGATTCAGGGATGGGTTATTGAGTCCACTCAACAATCCTTTCTGCGCCAGCACTGGTCTCTCCCATCAGGAGTCCAGGCGCCAGTGTGCCGGTATGCATGGGTTGGGACTTCTGGGGATTTGGGATTGGGACTAGAGTTGGGACTTTGGGTCGAGTCTGGGGTTTGGGCTGGCCTTGGGACTGGAACTGGGGTTGGAGTTGGGGTAAAGGTTGGGGTGAGGGAGGGTGTGGTGGCGGGATTTGCTTTGAAGCAGCTCAGTTGGTGCCAAGTGCGTCTGTCTGCATGAGGATGGGGGATGCGTGGGGTGGTGTGCGGTTGTATGGGGTATGTGGTGGCATGCAGGGGATGGGAAAGAGTGAGAAGGGTTTGGTTGACTGCAGGTGCCTGGAGGATGATGTGTCTCTGTTCTGATTGATTGCCAATGGGAGTCACCTGCTCGTCTTGTCCTTCAGGAATGTGCACTGCACGTGCATTCCATGTGCAGTGCAAAAGCCTACCATGTCGTTAACCCTGTTCTGTCCACCCACTCCCGATCTCCACCTCTTTATGTTATGATGCATTGGCAGCCATGAATGCTCTCAGCAAAACCAGCAGCAGCAGCGCCAGCAGCAGCAGCACCACCACCACCACCATCACCAGCAGCATGAGCAGCAGCAGCAGCACCACCACCACCATCACCAGCAGCATGAGCAGCAGCAGCACCACCACCACCACCACCACCATCACCAGCAGCATGAGCAGCAGCAGCAGCGGCGGCGGCAGCAGTGAGTCATCATCACCCCAGTCAGGGAAGTCGAGCAGGAAGAAACCAGGAGTGGGCAGCACAGCGTCTGGGACTGCCGGCACTGTCACTGGCCCTGCCGCTGGCACTGGCACTGGCATTGCGACTGCCACTGACAATGCCACTGCTGCCGCTGTCTCCCCTGCTGCTCCTGGCTCGACCTCTCCTCCTGAGGCTGCTGGTATGGAGAACTCGCTGAGTCAGCAAGGAAAGACAGGCAATGGAGCAGATAATGGAAGCAGTGTCTCAGGCCCTCTAGGCTCAACTTCCGGTGCTGATACCAGCGCCAACAGCGGCAGAAGTGGCAGCAGCAGCAGCGCTAGCAATAGCAGCAAGCAGGCAGGTGAGTCAGGGTCAGTGACGGCTGCACCACCGGCACCGATATCAACCACTGTAGCTGCACCCATCCCATCTCCAGTAGGTGAAACTACAAAGAAAGATCTTGACAGTGTCAGGAAAGCAATCGACACTTCCAAGAAGGCGGCAGCAGATGCAGCTAAGAAGGTGGCTGACAAAGTGAAGTTGTCGAGACGAAAGCAAAAGCATTCATGAATTGGGGCATGTATTCGTATTAATTCTTACTAAGCTGACAGCTGCTGTGTTATAGCATACTTTTGAGTTACCAGCTATCTTGGACTCGTATCTTTTGCATTGTAACTGTACCCTGTATTGTACTTCCACATTCAATAATGTGCACATCGTACGTGTCACCAACAAGAGGCTCGCTAACATAGGTCTATATTGAGTACAGACAACATCCTCGGTCCACCACAATGCACTCCCCGAAATCTCACCAATCTCCGCATTCCAACCCACCCAATTCCCAATCCGCACCCCTCCATCAAGCCATGGCCGCCGCGCGTCTCACGCTTACACCGCCGCTCATTGCGGCCTACAGCAGTAGCACCTCGCAGCTCCGTCACTCGTCCGCCTTCTCCTCCTCCGGGCGAGCCGCGTCGGTCCGCAACCCGATCCCGCTCCTCACGCTTCCCCAAGCTCGCCGTTGGTCCGTCGGTGCGATCGGCCCGCTCGTCACCGCGCTGCCAGCAAGGACAAATAGCCGCGGGCCGAAGCGCGCGTCCATGGCTGCGAGGGCGTCGGCGGCGGGAAGTGCGAGCGCGGAGGGGAACGACGGGAGCAACGCGACGACGCGACGGGTGGTAGAGCACCTCGTGTATTTCCAGGTGGGTCTCTAGCCTCTCGAGACGCGCTCGAGACTATTGAGGCCTCTGGAACTATCGAGGTCTCAAAATGGTGGATTTATGTTCGGGCGTTGAGCTTTGGTCGAACGCGCGCATCTCTGCGTCCGCCCTCCGCCGCGTGCGTACTGTACTGCAAGCAGCAGCACAGCAGGTGCGCGTGACGCTCCGCCACGGCTCTCGCTTCGAATCCCCCCGCCGGCGGCAGCGGGGAGCTTTCGTCTCGTATGCAGCGCTTGTCGCTGGGGAATACTGCACGCCGTCGCACGTCATCTCGTGTCGCATCGCGAATCCACAGCGGCCACAGGTCTGAAAGCGAATAGTCTCCGGATTATTGAATTCCGCGGCGTCCGTCATTCCAAGGGCCGCCCCCGATGCCATTCAAATCTCTTTTACCTACAACGGTCCTCATAATACCTACGACGCTACTCGAAGTAATTCTTTGCTTTGTATTTGCAATGCAACAAACCCTCCCCTCCCCTCCCATCCCCTTGCTCCTCTTACCGGTCCTGTGTCACAAGTGATCGCCACGACACATACCACCACTGCATCTTTTTTTCCCTCTCGTTCCTACAAACCCCCCACTTGGCCCCCTCGTCTCTCCCCCCTGTTGCTCCCCTCCCCACTCCACCCGGCAACATCACCAGGTGAAGTGAAGCCCAACAACCCCCGTTCCGCCATAGCAGCCACGATCAACGGCCTCCTCGCCATCGCCTCATCCCCTGGCCGGGCCTTATTTTAAGTCGACTCAAAACACGTCCTCGCCATCGCCTCCTCGCCATCGCCTCCTCTCCTGGCCGGGCCTTTCTACCTCCAACACTCGTGCCCCCACGGCCCCTTCTTCCCATCTCTCCTTTCCGGACCCTAAAGTATCCCTTAACCACCCCCACCAGGTGCAGCCTAACATCTCCTACGCTGTAGAAATGAGTAACCATGGTCAGCGGCTACCGCACCCTCATAACCTTCTCGTCCCTTCCCACCACTCCCCACCACTCCCTTCCGCCTCTCTCCCTCCCCCAGGTGAAGCCCAACACCTCCTTCTCCGCCGTAGCAGCCATGGTCAACGGCCTCCGCGCCCTCATAGCTCCCTCGTCCCTCGCCTCCCTCTCCCCCTTCTCCCCACCCGGCCAGGTGAAGCCCAACACCCCCTCCGTCCGCCGTAGCAGCCATGGTCAACTGCCAGCGTGCCCTTGCCTTCGCCCCATTCCCACTCCCCACCACTCCCCACCCTCCCCTCCTCCCTCCTTTAGGTGAAGCCCAAAGCCCAGCACCGCTCCATCCGCCACAGCAGCCATGGTCAACTGCCTGCGCCCTCATATCCTCTTCATCCCTGCCCACCACTTCCCCTTCCCTCTTCCCCCCCTCCACCAGGTGAAGCCCAGCACCCCGTCATCCGCCATAGCAGCCATGGTCAACTGCCTGCGCCCTCATATCCCCCTCATTCCCTCTCCCCACTACTCCCCCCACCCTCTTCTCCCCTCGCGCCAGGTGAAGCCCAACACGCCCCCATCCGCCGTAGCAGCCATGGTCAACGGTCTCCGCGCCCTCTCCTCCGCCCCCGGGGTCCTCTTCCTTGCAGTCGGCTCCGCGCTCCCAATCCCCCCTGCGCTCTCCGCCTCCCCCGCTCCCCCCTTTACGGTCCTGTGCATCGCCGTAACCACCACTGCTTCAGCTGCCTCCCTCTCATTTTTGCAGTCCCCCCACTCGCTCCCCCCTTCGCTACCCGTCACCCCCCCCAGGTGAAGCCCAACACGCCCCCATCCGCCGTAGCAGCCATGGTCAACGGTCTCCGCGCCCTCTCCTCCGCCCCCGGGGTCCTCTTCCTTGCAGTCGGCTCTGCACTCCCCATCCCCCCAGCCCTCGCCGCCTACACGCCCCAATCCCCCTGGACACACGCCCTTCTCGGCCGGTACGAGTCACGAGACGCACTCCAAGCGTATGCAGGGTCAGAGGAGCATGTGAAGGTGGTGGAGGGGTGCATCAAGCCGATTATCAGTGACATCCTGGCCGTCGATTGGGAAACAGACGTCCCTGCCGATGCTGCTGCCTCTGCTTCTGCCTCTGCTGCTGCCGATGCTGGTGTGTCGCGTCTGCCCTTCTCGGTGATCCACTCTGTGGTCATGGAGCTAGGCCCATCCGCCACCGCCAATCCCACCGCCATCCCCACCATGGTCTCATCCCTCAAGTCTCACGTGGGCGAGATCCCCGGCCTGCACGAGGTCTCCATAGGGGAGAATTTCGCGCCGGCTCGCGCCAAGGGGTTCACGTGGGGGTATGCGGGGTACCATGCGGACGAGGCGGCTCTGCGGGTGTATGCGGGGGATGAGAGGCACCAGCAGGTGATGGCGGAGGCGGTGCTGCCTCTGGTGGCGCGGTACAACTGGGTGGATTTTCGAGTGGACGAGGTTTATGAAGAGACCAGCGCAAAGCTGTAGGGCCAGCAGCAGGTTTAGGGTTTAAAGTTTAGGGTTTCAGCTAGTGGTGGTGGTGTGGCTGGTGGTGATGTTGCTGCTGTGACTAGTATGGTAATTTGGGTGTAGGCGAGTCTCTTATCGCGAGGCAAAGCAGTGATCTTGTAGTCAGGCCTCGGAAGCTCTTCGCTGGAAATAGAAAGGAAAGAGCGAGTTTCAGGTACCGATATTTGCATTGCAGTGTCTCATCTGTTTTAGTTATGGTAACATACCGTAACAAGCTTTTGGCGTGCTTAGAAACCATGTGTGCTGGGTTTAGAATGTCCATACGAGAATACTCATACAACCTACCGTACGGTACTACAGACAGCTCGCATGCACAGGTTGGCAACGCTGTATGGCTGATTCTAGACTATGCACACTGCAACCGCTTCACCCTCACACAATCAAGTGTCAAACCTATATGCTTTAGTTTGTGTAGGCTGTAGTGGGGTAGACAATATGGGGTACAACACTTTTAGGTTTTCCTACTTGTACCCACCTATTTCCTAGTGCATTCATTTCCTCATTCTTTCACATGGTATAGAGCAGGTTCCCTAGTGGGAACGTTTCCTAGGGCCCACCGAAAATCGATTTTTTTTTTCCTGCCCGGAGCGCGCTTCGCCCCTGCCCGAGTCGCGCCCCGTGTGCCTGCCCTCCCGTCGCGTCCCCTGCCCTTAGCGGCCCGTCGAGCCCAATTACGGCCCCTCGCAGCCCCTTAGCCGCTCCCTCGCGGCCCCTCTCACGGCCCCTCGCGACCCCTTCGCGGCTCCCTCGCGGCCCCTCGCGGCCCCTCCCACGACCCCTCGCGGCCCCGTCGCGGCTCCCTTGCGGCCCCTCGCGGCCCCTCGCGGCCCCTCGCGACCCCTCTCACGGCCCCTCGCGGCCCCTTCGCGGCCCCTCGCGGCCCCTCGCGGCCCCTCGCGGCCCCTCTCACGGCCCCTCGCGGCCCCGCGGCCCCTTCTCAGCCGCTGTCGCCCCTCTCACGGCTCCCTCGCGACCCTTCGCGGCCCCTCTCGCGGCCCCTCACGGCCCCTCGCGGCCCCTCTCACTGCCCCTCGCGGCTCCGCGGCCCCTTCTCAGCCGCCGCCGCTCCTGCCCCGGCCGCAGCAGCCGCCGCCGCCGACGGTAGCAGCCGCCGCCGACGGTAGCAGCCGCCGCCGCCGCTGCCGTGTCCGCCGCCGCCACCCCTGCCCCGGCCGCAGCAGCCACCGCCACCACTGACACCAGCAGCCGCCGCCGCCGCCGATTGCGGCAGCCGCCGCCGCCGATTGCGGCAGCCGCCGCCGCCGCCGACACCAGCAGCCGCCGCCGCCGCTGCCGTGTCACCCGCCGCTGCCCCTGCCCGCCGCGGCACCCTGGCCCCTGGAGCAGCTGCCGCTGCTGCAGCTGCCCCTGGCCCCTGGAGCAGCCGCCCCTGGCCTCTAAAGCAGCAGTCCCTACAGCAGCCGCGGAGCCCTCGCCCTGCGGTGGTAGCGGCCTCACCATTGCCGCTGTCGTACTCCTGCCCTTCTTGCCACTGGAGAGCTCTGCTGTTACTGCTGTTACTGCTGCTCTTGCTACTACTGCTCTTTCTACTGCTACTGCTGCTCCTGGCGTGGCCAGATGCAGCTCCAGCGCCGTCCGCGTGAGTCCCTCGCCCCCCATCAGCTTCGTGAGTGGTACGCTAGTTAGGGTTGTAGGGGTGGCCGCACTGCTACTGCTGCTACTGCTGCCACTGCGGCTACCACTGCTCCTGCTGCCCAAGGCGGTGGCCAGATGCAGCTCCAGCGACGTCCGCGTGAGTCCCTCACGCTTCAGCAGCTTCGTGAGTGGTACGCTACTTGGGGTTGTCGGGGTGGCCGTAGTGAGAGTCGTTATGGCGTGAGTAGTTTGGGAGCTGCTTGTAGTGGCCAAGTGCAGCTGCAGCGTAGTCCGCGCGCGTTCTTTTCGCCCCAGAAGCTTCGTGAGTGGTACGCTCAGCGTGGAGGGTCACGGAGTACTGCTCGCTGTCCGTACGTCATTCGCACTGGTGCTCGGACTGGCCAGCCTTGCGAGACGTTTGGCCATGCAGAGTCCCGCTGCTTCGTCCGTCTGAGCGGCGCCTGGCGTACAAAGTTTGGCGACGCCGCTGAGCTCCCCGACTGGGTGGAGCTGCTTAGGCAGAGGGTAGATATCTATGCTCTTCACTATGATGCTATCCTCACTTCTATGTATGCATTGCCTACTAGTGATGTGGTTGACTGTTACCTGTGTGTTCCGCCTGACCCGGGCATTGAGGCTGCTGATCTAGGTGCTGATGAGGCTGCTGCTCTAGGTGCTAGTGCGTCTACTCCTCCAGGTGCTGGTGAGTCTGCTGCCCCAGGTGCTGGTGAGTCTGCTCTCTCAGGTACCACGTCGGCTCAGGTTTTACACACCTTCACCCTTGACTCGGGTGCTTCCTGCTCTTTCTTTCGAGACCGCACCACACTCACGCCGCTCAGTCGGCCAGTTGCAGTCTCCCTGGCAAACCCCTCTGGGGGTCCTGTCCTTGCCCACTTCTCCACTGTCTTTCCGTGTCCGGCGGCCCCTTCTGGCTCCCTGTCAGGTCTTTACCTCCCCTCGTTGTCTACGAACTTGGTGAGTGGTGCAGACCTATAGGATGGAGGGGTTGACCAGTTCACTCCTGCGCATCAGCGAGTTACCCACTGTACGTGTGCTCGGACGGGCCGACACTTGGCCACGTTTACCCATCAGCCGGGGTCGAGCCTGTACACACTGACTACTGAGTCTCCTCAGGTAGCTGCGTCGAGTCAGGTGTTTGCTGCAGTGTCCAGGTCTGGTCTTGAGTCTGCCCCCTGCTCGTGTCGTCTCATGTCTCATCAGACTCTCCTCTGGCACCACCGCCTTGGTCACCCCTCCCTGCCTCGTCTCCGAGGCATGGCCTCTCGTTTCCTTGTCTCGAGTCTCCCCCGGTCCCTCCCTTCTCTTCCTCCGGGGCCTGCCCCCACCTGCGTTCCCTGCGTCGAGGGGCGGCAGCGCGCCGCTCCTCACTCCTCCGAGTTTCCTCCGACAGAGGCTCCGCTGCAGACGCTTCACATGGACGTGTGGAGCCCAGCCCGCGTCCGTGGACAGGGTCACGAGCGTTACTTCCTGCTGGTGGTTGACGACTACTCGCGTGACACCACAGTCTTCACCTTGCGCAGCAAGGGTGAGGTCACTGAGGTGTTGATCGACTGGATCCGCGCAGCTCGTCTCCAGGTCAGAGAGAGTTTCGGCTCGGACTTTCCTATCCTGCATCTGCACTCCGATAGAGGAGGTGAGTTTTTCTCTGACCTTCTGCGAGCCTTCTGTCGTGCACAGGGTATCCGCCAGACGTTCACGCTTCCGGCCTCTCCACAACAAAATGGGATTGCTGAGCGCCGCATTGGCATGGTCATGGACGTCGCTCGTACGTCCATGATCCATGCGGCTGCTCCCCATTTTCTGTGGTCGTTCGCTGTTCAGTACGCGGCGCATCAGATCAACCTTCAGCCCCGGCTCTCCTTGCCGGAGACTTCCCCTACTCTGCGGTGGACGTGGAAGGTTGGCGATGCGTCTGCGTTTCGTGTCTGGGGATCTCGGGCTTTTGTTCGCGACTTGTCTGCGGACAAGCTGTCCCCCCGTGCTGTTCCCTGCGTCTTCCTTGGCTTCCCCCCTGACGCACCTGGTTGGCAGTTTTACCACCCCACCTCGCGTTGTGTTCTGTCTTCCCAGCACGTCACGTTTGACGAGTCGGTCTCCTTCTACCGTCTCTTCCCCTACCACACTGCCCCGCTCCCCCCTTCGCCGCTCTTCCTCATGCCAGGTGCTGCCTTGGTAGACCCCTTGCCTCCCCATGTTCCTGCTCCCTCAGGTGTTTCCCAGGTAGACCCGGTCGAGCCTGTCGAGGTAGCTGTCGACTCTGGTCCTGAGCGAGGTACTGAGCGTGCTGAGCCTGGTGGTGCTGGGTCTGGAGGTACTGAGCCTGGGGGTGGTGAGCCTGGGGGTGCGGAGACTGGGGGTGCTGAGCCAGGAGGAGAGGAGACTGCGGGTGCTGAGCTTGGGGGTGTAGAGACTGCAGGTGCTGAGCTTGGGGGTGCTGTCCTTGGTGGTGCTGGGTCTGGAGGTCCTGAGCCTGGGGGTGCTGCGCGTGGGGGCGCTCTCTCTTCCCAGTAGCTGCGTGAGTGGTACTCTCGGTACTGTCGCAGCCTCTGTGGTGCTACTGGAGCTGGAGTTGAGAGCGCTGAGCCTACTGGAGTTGGTCTTGCTACTGACCCTGGGGTCGGCGCTGGGGGTGCTGAAGCCTCTGGTACTAGAGGTGCTCGTACTGGCGGTACTGGAGCTGCTGGGACTAGGAGTGCTGCTGGAGCTGTTGGCGCTGGTCCTGCTGGAGGTGCTGCTGGAGGTACTGGAGCTGCTGAGCCTGGAGGTGCTGCTGGAGGTACTGGAGCTGCTGAGCCTAGAGGTGCTCCTAGTGCTGGAGCTGCTAGCGGTGCTGGAACTGGCAGTCCTGCTGGAGTAAGTGCTGCTGGAGCTGCTGGAGCTTGAGCTACTGGGGGTGTTGGAGCTGGAGGTGCTGCTGGCGCTGGTGCTGCCGCTGGGGGTACTGGTGCTATCCGTGCTAGTTCTAGATGCGCTACGCGACCGCGGCCGTACTTCGTTCCGCTCCTTGAGCAGGTTCTTGGTCTCCCGCCTTCTACTGGTCCTGCTCCTCCCTTAGTGTGTCCACAGCCTGGCCAGTCGTAGTCACAGTTACAGCCCGCCTCCCCACTGCCTGCTCCTTCTCCCTACACTGGTCCTACTGAAGGTCTTGCTGAGCGTCATGCGCCTGCGTCTCGTCCTGCGTCACCTGTTCGTGCTGCTCGCACTAGTATTCCTGTTCCGCGTCAGCGTCCTCCTGCGATCCCGGGCACGCACCAGATGGCACTGCGTCCTTCCACTACTCCGCAGCGTGTCCTTATGCCGTCTCCTTCGGAGTCCTCTCTTCCTGCTCTTGCTGACCCGGA